CCCTGAGTTCAATTCCTATTACTGGAGGAAAAAAACAAAAACAAACAAACTTGAATGCTGAAGAGTTGCTAGTTGATTTCATTGGCCATGAAAAGCCGCAGTGGTTTTGTGGCAAGGACAGGATAGAGAGGTCTGGTTTTGGGGGCTCAGTATAACAAGAACATGGGAGGTGGACTGCAGGCAGTTCTTCTGCCAATCCAGCTTGTTTTTCCACTCCCACTCGTGGCTCTTCTAACCTACACGTTCACCTGGACAGTTCCCCTGGCCACTGAAAGATGAAAGGAAGGGACAGAGGCTGTAAGAAGGATGTTCAGTGTCTGGTGAGTGGGAGGACAAGTTCAAAGACCTGGGCCCAGCTTAGCTTCCATCCCCCACCTGTGCCGTGTCCTAGGCGGATAGCATATGGATGGAGATGGACGATGAGGAGGACCTGCCTTCCGCTGAGGAGCTGGAAGACTGGCTAGAGGACGTGCTGGAGGGTGAGATCAACACAGAGGATGACGATGACGACGATGATGATGATGATGATGACGATGATGATGATGACTAGTTGCTATGGCAACCATCTCCCAGCCCCACCTTGCTCTTCATGTACCCTCCTGTCTTCCCTGTCCTTCCCCGAGTTCCTCCAGGGACACTAACTAGGTCATCCTACCACAGGGTTAGCTGGGCTCTAAATACTGGGTGCTAAGCTCTATCCCCCTCAACCAATGAGGAAAGCAGCTATCGAACACCAGCCCACCTCTCTCATCTGACTTGTTTCTTATCCTACAACGCACCCGAATTTTATTGTTTCTTCCAATACTCTCCATTTTCTTGCTTGGGGTTCTCCCCTTGCCTTATCTCTCCCGTTCCTCCCATCTATGCACAATCTTCCCCAACCCTCTCCCTTATCCTGTATCCTCCTGACTGTCCTGTCCCTGGCCAGGAGGAAGGGAGGGTACTCTGTTTGGGGCTGTATCTCAGCTGTTTCCTGTTAATGTATTCAGGTCAAATACAAGGACTTAATAAAAGAGATCTGGGGCAGCACAAGCAAGTGTTGAAGTCTCACCCCTGCGGCAGGATGGGAGATTGAGGTGTGGGTGCCTTGGGAGGAATGATGGGAGGGGTTGGGGCTCCCTCCAGGCAGTTATCCCAGAGAAACTTGGATTATTTATCAGCTTCGAGTCAACAAGCCTTTTCTGAACACATGGTGTTTGTCCAGGGCTGTTGTTGGGCTCTGGGAGAACAGAGAGTGCCAGGCCTGTCCCTACTCTAGAGCTGATTAGCCTCCCCAAGAAGTAAGACAAGCACACTAAACAATTGGGAAAAAAACACAAAGCAATATGTAATTAAGCAATTATGTGCTGCTTGATAGCGCCCTCCCTGCAGCTCTTATTTGAACATCAAGACTGAACCCTGATTATTCTTCTTCCATAAGGCCTTCCTAAGCTTGCCCCCCCCCCTGCAGTCCCCTATCTGCACTTTTCCTGTGGCACTTTTTTTTCTTTTTTGGCTATACTAGGGATTGTATCCAAGCTTAATCCCCAGCCCTTTCTATTTTTCTGAGACAGGATCTTTCTAAATTGCTGAGGCTGACCTTGAAATTGCAATCTTCCTGCTTCAGCCTCCCAAACTGCTGAGATTACAGGCCTGTGTCAATGAGCCTGGCTCACAAAGCACTTCCTATATATCTCCATTCTAGTAATCAACACGTGGTATTATAGTTCTTCACTACAGTTCTGTATTCCCCACTAAACTATGAGCGCTATGAGGACAAACCCAGGCTTTTTCTTTATTTCCACAAGGCCTGTACATAAAAAGTTTTCCGTAACATTTGTTAAAAGAAGAAAAATTAGCCAGGTGTAGTAGTGCATGTTGTAATCCCAGCGGCTGGGGAGGCTGAGGCAGGAGGATCACAAGTTCAAAGCCAGCCTCAGCAAAAGTGAGGTGCTAAGCAATTCAGTGAGATCCTGTTTCCAAATAAAATACAAAATAGGGCTGGGATGTGACTCAGTGGCCCCTGAGTTCAGTACCTGATATTACCCCTCCCCCACCAAAAAAAGAAGAAACATTAAGAAAAAGACTCAGGACTTGATGACTTCCTAAAGGAAGCAAGCCTTTTCTAAGCATTAAATTGAAGAATGGGACTTGGTTGGAAGCAAGGGAGTTGGAAAGTGGACATTTAAGTCAATGGATACATCACAAACATTGGCAGGCCAATGTTTTGGCAGGCCACTATAATTCCTACAACTTGGGAGGCTGAAGCTGGAGGATCACAAGCTTGAGGCTAGCCTCAGCAATTTAGCAAGTTCCTGTCTCAACAATAAAAAGGACTGGGGGATATAGCTTAGTAGTTAAGTACCCCTGGGTTCAGCTCCCAGTACAAAAACAAAACAAACAAACAAAAAATACTGGCAGGAAGTATTTGTAATATGGGAGCATGGAGATCACAGAGATAAGAGGAGAAATTCAAGGCCTTGAAGCTGGTAAGATTAAGGGCTGATTGCAGAGATGTTTTAACTTAATCCTGTGAGATGGGGAGGAAGGGCAAAAATTCACCTGGTAGAAATGGAGAGGGGGATGGACATGGGGAGGCAGGGATGATGAGGATTCTAGAGGCAAGGAGCCCAACTCATAGTCAGAGGCTGTTAATATCAGAAGGAAGTTGAGAGAACCCAGAACCCATGGTGGTCATGGGAATGGAGAAGAGACATTGACTTTTGTACAATGGGGATACCCTAGACCTGGGCCTTTCAAGAGTTCTTTGCAGGAAGGACCCACAGACTCTCCAGGATAGGTCCAGGCTGGATGGGCACAAAGCAGTTGGGAGCAGGGAGGACCAAACTGCTGAACTATCCATATATAACAAATTATAGTTTACATGGAGCAAGTGTAAAGTTATTGCTGGTATACCGAGGATTGTTAAGTATGGAAAACTGGGACTTGGGGTTAATTTTCCAGTTTTCACTCTCCACAGACGAATCTAGGAAGTGTTCCTAGAGAAGCAGCAGAGTTTAGAGAATAGAAACCATTTATCCATCCAATACCCATTTAACAAATATTTAATAAGCAGTACAGGCACTAGTTTTGTATTAGAAAAATGTTATTAAGCTTACTGTTTAGCATAGATCAGTGGAAGACCCCAGACTAAATTATAGTTCCTATTTCTTTAAACACCCATTTTAAATAGTCAATCTCTAGAGACTTGCATTTCTGAATCTCAGAAGGACCCTGTAAATCAGTCACTGGCATCCCCTTCTTACTGGTGAGGATATTGAGGCTTAGGGGCATACTTTGTCTTAGGAAAGAGTTGAGCAAGCTTGAAACCCAAGTCCCTGTGCCTTGTTGCCTGTCTTATTTCACTCAGATACTGCATGTCTGTGGGTAAATCATGCAGTTTCCTTGAATCACAAAGATGGATTTAAGAAAATAGGTTTTGGCCCTGCAACAAGGAGCAAATGAGATACATATACAAAGGCAAATTATGAGGATGAGTTACTCTCAAAGGGGGCAATGCTGAGGATAAAAGAGCAAAGAAAAAGTCTGTAAAGCCCCAAGTGGCAGGAACCTGAGCTGAGGAGCAATGTAGACCTAAGAAAGTAGGGGCTCATCTGAGGCTTCTGGAAGTGTAACCGATTCCCTCAAGTTGGAATTGAGGCAAGATAAGTGTTCCATGAGGTGGTACAGAGTTCTCACCCCTCTTCCCAGGGCCAGACCCTGCCAGAGTTGAGGTGACCCTTCTGCTGGGGATGGGGAGAAACAGATGCTTCCCCAATTCTCCCTTCCCTCTTTTCAGTCTGGCTGAGAATCCGGGGGAGGAAAGTCCCTGAGGTGGAGGGGAAGTGAGAGCTACCATTCTGGGCCCCCAGCAGAGGGGCAGAGCTAGGAGACAGAGCTAAGTGTGGCTTCGGGAGCTGTCTATATTTGCATGGTGAGGTCACTGCTGCTCTTTTTCTCCCCCGAAAATAAAATTACATCATGGTAGGGGAGGAGGAAGAGTGGGGTGTATTTGAGAAAGGTGAGAGTGACACAAGAGGGCCGTCTGGCTTCACCCTAAAGAGACAGTCTATGGTTTCAGGTCAAGTAAAGGAGGTCATGTTGCTTCTTGCCGGGGACCCTCTGCCTCCACTTCCAGGGTGAATAAGTGGGGTCATTTACTACCAGTCCCCTGATCCATAAAGCTAGGAGAGCGGTTTTTCCAAATACCAAAGCAAATAGCTTAAGAGCAGGCATTGGTCAAATCCCTAAACCCTGATTTACTAAGTCCTCTCAGGGGTCCCAGTCGTGGTCACCCAGAAATCGGAAGAGGAGGAAGGTGTCCCGTTGGGAAGGAATTCAATCTGGACGTTGTTTCACAGTTGAGGGGGGAGGGCGGCATCCCTCCGCCCAATTCTGTCCCTCTCCCTCGGAGCCTTCCAGAACCCCAGCCCCTCGGCCCCGCGTCCCCTCCCCCGCCGCTCCCCGCCCCCCGTCCCTTGTGTCAATGAGCCTGGCTCACAAAGCACTTCCT